TTCTTGGACACTGGAGGAGACAAGCGGCACATACAGCTGTTCCCTCCACTCGGAGTCTCTTATCCGGGTGCGCAGGCCTGGGCTAAGAACAACTTTCTTGCAGGTAGTAATTTCTCTCTTGAAGCTTGGAGAGTCCCCGAGTTACTGCCAGCTACTTATTTCCCAGGTCCTCTGTTGCATTCTTTTTGCCCTTTTTTTTATTTTGTCCCACCTCTTCCCTACAGGTTGGAAATCGATATAGTCTTACTTTTATTAAGCATCTTACTGCATTTGCATAAGTAAAGTCAGTGCTCATTAATAACAATTCATCGGGCTCTGGTGCTCCCAAGTGGCTATTGGTGTTGTTGGGAGTGTTGTTTGAAAACAGGATAGGAACAAAGCTGCTGGTTAAGCAGCTATTGCTGTGACTGGGTGTTTCTGCACATAGGTGCTGACTATAGCTGTCACACCAGGGTGGGCATTGTGTGTTTTCCGTTTTGCATTGCGTCCCTTTCAGTTCTGTATCAGTGTTGCTTAGACCAGTCCTTTCCCTGGGTGATTAGAGAACTGGCTCAAAGCTTCCGTTGTTGATTCAGTATTGTTTTTTCTGAGCCTTCCACTGTGGCTCACCATGCTCACTTGCTCTGACTTTATCACTTTGAAGGTGCTTCTTAATTCCTCATAAACCATTATAAGGTTCTATCTGCTGGATGCCAGTCCCTGTACACCTTTTGTAGCCTGCCTGTGCATGATCTTTGGTCAGGCATGTGAGATTATGCTATTGGTGCATTTTTTAAGATTTCTGCAAGGAACTAACCATATCTTATTTATTTTCTTTGGGAGGAATAGGGAAGGGGTTCTGACACTTGGTCACAAACCCAAGTGGTGTTGTGGCACTTAAAAGTGGTCTTGTGAACCTTATGGAAATTCATTTATAAAAGGTGAACTTCCATCAGAATTCAGTTTGCAATCCATAAAGGTTGTGAACTGCTGGATTATGGTATGAGTTATTTGAGGAAAGTCTCAGAATAATAGTGGTAATAAGCAGGGGGTAAATGCAGGATTTGCATCATATGAAATCTAGATCAATGTAAATGAACAAGAAGCATTTAATCTGTATCCAAAGCACATCTGCGTCATGTACTGGAGCAAAATATTATTTTGGGTTTCCTCAGTAACTGTGGTAACTTGTGCTCTCTGATATCTGGCTGGCAGCTTCCGAATTTGCATAGGTACATGAGTCAGACTTGTGATTCAGATATGATGAACCTAGTCTTCAGAAGAGTTACGCATCACCGTAGATGGATGAATTCTTCATCTTCTGCACCTGTTTTAAAATTAAGGTGGAGGTTGAAACACGGGATTGTTTTGAGAATCTGAGCTTGTCTGCTTGCAGTTGTGAACAGGAGTGTCTGGCTTTGTGGAGGCGTAGCTGGTGATGTAGAACTGACTTTGCTTTTCACCTTTCAGCTCAAGCATGTGAAAGTTGGTATGGAAAAGATCAGGGGAAGTCATTCAGGCACTGAGTCTTGCCAGACTCTGCATTTAATACCAGGGATATGTTTTGCCTTTTGAGAGCAGTTTGTGCCTCTGTTCCTTTCAAATGATCACTTTCTAAAATACCTATTTGCCAAATGCATAAAGACAGAATTGCTGGGGTAGCGAACAGATATTTGTTTGGGCATCTATTTTAACAGATCCTGATGAAATCAAGCGTGGAGTATGCCCTTTATTCCTTGCTTTAAAGTAGGTGGAGAGCTTGTTTTGTCATCCTTGGCTGAGAAATTCTCAGTGTATACAAGCTTCATTTGAATTGTCTTCTCCAATATGACTTAGGACCCCTGACAGAGTTGAAGAGTAGGAAAGTGCTTATATTTATGCTTTGTTCTTTTAAGGAAAGCACAGTTGTCTTGTACTAGGACTTCTGTGTAATGAGTTCTTGGCTCCAAAGGTATGTGCATGGGTGGAAGCGTTAGCAACATTTCTACCATCTCTAGATAAGCATTCATAGAGATTTCAGCCTGGCAGAGTGGAGTTGAAATGAGGTGTAAAGTCAGGAGGTTAAGGTGTGAATGCATTCCTATCACAGGCTTCCTCCAGCCTATATTTGTAAATGTAGAAAATGGTGCTGAAAGGTCAGTAAGTGCTTAATGTTCTAAGGTGACTTCAGCACAGAGACGTGGTTCAGTTTCCTTTCAGGACAGCAACTGAACAAATAGAAGCTCTGTGTCCCTATATAATCAAGTCCCTTTTGGCATTCAGTCTTTTTACCCTTTCCAAAGGCAGGCCTGAGGAATACTCATTCTCCTTTCAGCTCCCTTTTTGACCCGCTCCATCTGGCTTTCTAGGCCTCCTGTTGCAGCCATTATTTTTCCAGCTGTGATTGTCTTCCACTTTGTGGGGAGTCTTTTCATTAGCCAGATTGATTGTTTGGGATTCCCTGCAGAGCTGCAAGCATGTTTCTCCTTTTTCATGGGGACTGATGCAGAATCCAGTAGGAATCCCCTGTTTCAACTCTTTGTATTTGAAGCCCCCTAGCTGGGTCACGTGTTGCAATATGGCCACCTGCAGGGCCCTTTTCTGGCATGGTCCCCAGGGTTGATGAAACTGTCTAAGGTTGAGGGGTGGGAGGGCATGCAGCTGCATTGGGAACCCAAGCCCAGCTTCTCGACAATCCCACATGTCACTGTTCTGAGCAACTACCCAAGCATCACTAGGCTGTGTCTTCTGTTGGGAGTGCAAATAATATTAAGTCATGATGAAAATGTGGCAGTTATCTCTAAGGAGAGGAGGCCATCAAAATTGGACTCTAGGTCACATTCTGCCAGGAAGATGGAGTTCAAAGTTCTGTCAGGGCATATGACCTACTCTGATTGCTACTGTGGTCTGGAACCTATGGAAATGGATTGATTGATCATAAGACCTGTCAGGCATGTAGCAGAGTTCCATGGTCTGTTGCTTTGAGGACGGCAGGGTTACTTATTGATTTTATAAGTCAGAGGATGTCAATATTATTATTTATTTAGGTCTTAGCAGGTTTAACTAGCTATTGCCACTTGGGATCCTGTTCACATTGAAAATATCCATTAAATGAATTGGCTTTTATATTGGGATCAGCTCAGCAAACTAAGCATTAGAGGTGCAGCAGTACATTGGTCCATATTGTATCAGCACTGATAAAAGGGAAATTGACATTATTGGCAGTCAGCTTTTTTTGGCTGATGTGGCCAGTAACGTCACTGATAAATGCTGCATGCAACTCGAGGCCTCCCGTGGTGAGGGAATGGAGTGGGGCTGGGGCAAGGGCAGGTGCTGCCCAGTCAGGGTATGGGATGGAGCCGGCAGCTCATCTGGGGGCGTGGGGAGTGGGGGTGGCTCCCACCACTGTGCAGACCCCTGAGAGAAGCATGGGGGGCATGTGCCCTCTGGATCTGTGTGTGGGGCAAAGGCAGGCTGTTGCTGCTGCTGTGTGCTCAGAGCCGGGGGTACTCCAGCCTCTTCCTGGCAGCTGCACTTGGGATGGGTGGTGGCAGCACTGAGAGAGGGGATATGGGGGGGGCTACAGTTACCCCAGAATTTGTCATAGCCCTCCTGTAGCCCTTCCTCCCAGTGCCGCTGCCTCCCATACAGCCTGGCCTGAATGCAGCCACTGGAAGAGGCTGGATCAGCCCCGGCCCCAAGCACACAGCAGCAGCCCACCTTTGCCCTGTTCCCAGATCCGGGGGTACATGCCCCCTATGCCTCTCCTGAGGGTGCGTACAGTGGTGGGAGCTGCCCCCTGCCCCTCTGTGCTTCCTGGATGAACTGCTGGCTCTGTCTCGCACCCTGGCCCACCCCGGCTGGGCAGTGCCTGCCCCTGCCCCAGGCTCATCCCCAGCCAGACTCCCTCCCTCACCGTGAAGAGCCTTAATCGGCCCCCTCCACGTCCCTTCCCCGCAATAGACTTACCAGCCGGGTGCTGCTCTCCATGCTGCTGGGCTGCATGTCGGCAGTCGGATTGGCAGATCAATAATTGGCCCTCAATATCAGCCCAGAAAATCTTTCTCAGTGCACCCTTACTAAGCACATGTTCCTTGGTCAGTGTGAGCCAGAGAAAAAATTGTTACCAGATATTGAATATATTATCCAATATTTTTGAGCACCAAGGAAGGGGAGGTACCTTTCTAGTCAGGAAAACATGAATATTTTCTTACTGCTTTTGGTCCTGGAGCAGAATATGAGCTCGGCTAAGGAAATAGGCTGAATTTTCAGAATTGAGGTCGAGAAGAAGTTTTTAAAGTAATTAAAATATTAGAATTGCCTTTGTCACATTTGAGTCTAACAGGATTTCATTTTTGGCTTCAGAAACATAACTGTTCTTTTCAAACAGACTTTCTCCCTGCTGAGTGAGGTGCATGAGTGGCTTGTGGAAAACTTAGTTTCACTTTTGGGAGGGAAAAGAAAGGTTTAACTGAACAAGAATTAGAGGATAGATACAAATTTAGAATAGATACAAAACTTCCCTGGCTACTTACGCCCCCTCTCACTTTGGTGTTACTGCAATGTGTAAACATTTCACAAATATTCATTAATTTATACTTCCACTGGCCCCAACTGGAAGGGGAAATAGAAACATCAGCATTTCTAATTTACAAAGAAGGCTTGAGGAACAGTGAAGGTGGCTTGCTTGAGGTTATGGAGGGATTGTATGGCAAAATCAGGAATTGAAACCCAGTGTTCGCAGCCCTGATTTAGCACTTTAATTGTAGAACCATCCTTTTCTTCTTAAACAGTCAACTGGTGGGAGCCTTATAAAGATCTAAGATAGAATAGATTTTGAAATCCTGCATCAGCGTTGAAAACAAATTTTATTTGGAAGGTGGAGGGAAATAGCATTCAATTTAGGGTAGTTTATTGAAAATATGATTACATTTAAAAATGGCATAAACTTCTCAGCACTTACCAATATATTTTTGTTTTTTTTCCCCCTCCCCCAACTGCTCTCTCTCCACTCTGTCTCCTATGTGTGTCTCTTTTCCCAGGCTTCAATCTTGGATTTGCACTCTGGAGCACTTTCACTGGGGAAGCATTTTGTTAATTTGTACAGGTAAAAGGTTGTGACTTGCTCTCTGTCCTCTGTCATTTTACAGCCTGAGCACTCTGTTCCTTTTCCAGTTGAGAAAGGAATTCCATTGTGGGGGGTGACAGATGACTCTACAGGGGTTTGTAGGATTCTCTGCTGTCTCTTGTGTCCTTGTGAAAAACTTCTGTGGCATCAAATCTGATATAACTGTTGAATTGGATTGGACCTGTAGGAAGCAATTTGTAATTTATCTGTAGGATTTGCTTTTCAAGCATTGGGTAACTACTGATGGCTCTTGCACAGTTCTTGAGCTATAGCTTTTTGAGTAGCTGGGGAAACGCAGGGAATTTTGCACTAGTTTTCTAAAATGGAATTCCCATTCTTATTTTATGGTATGTAGATGGGAGAATTCTTGGGCCCAGTAATGCTATCACTGTATCTTAAATCTTTTAGTAATATCCTGTAGCAATGCAGGGTAAGCAGTGCACTTCTTTACTTGTTGAGTTCAAACAATGGGCTGGGTTATGGGTCCTTTGTATCAGTTTAATTTATTGGTACTTTGTGAAAAAGACAAAGCAGAGATAAGGGTGAGAAGATGTAAACTGGTAATGCAGTATGGTTTGTAATGCCTCTTCTTAAACTCCTTCTTAATTTTGCAGGTACTTTGGGGATAAAATTCAAGATGTCTTCACAGAAGAGGATTTCCAGTTATACCGGTAAATAAATTCAAGAGTTAGAGAATGAACCAGGAAATATAATGGGGGGGGGCTAACCCTTATATTGCCCCTGGAGTTGGATTTAGCCATGTTGTTGATGTGGCCTTCATTAATTGGTACCTCAGAATAGTCATATTTATAAAGATGAGAAAGCATGGGCTGGAGAAAATGGATAACAGCATCTGTTGGCAATTCATGACGAGTTGGAAGACAGCAACTTTATCAAACTGAATCCCTATGATCAGGGTAACAAGAAATGGAAATGTAAACAGAGCAGTGGTAGTCACTGCCCCTTCCTCTGTGGTATGACCTTAAATGACCTAAAAAACACTGACCCGTTGCTTCAAAATACATTCTTTGCACCAGACTGCCTAAGGCCTGCATGTATTGCATCATCAAAAATAAGAACCTGTTCCAGTTTTACTGAAGTGAGGGACAACCAACAAGATTCAGCAAACAGTAAAAACTGTATTTGGTTATCTAGTCTCCTGCTGCACACTGTCATTTGTATTAATAGTGGGTGAAAATTTCATCTTAGTAAGCAATGACTTGAGAAATTCAGAACCCAAGTAGAACTGTCCTGTGGACCTACTCAAATAACCAGTAGGGAAGCTTTTCCACTTAAATCTGAAGGCTAAAATTGTAGAGCTGTTTCATTGTAGCTAAGGTCTAAATCACTTTTAACACTTGGTTCCATTTGTTCAATGTATTAGGCAAAACATTTGAGCTATGGAGTATAACACATCCTTGTAGTTCTCCTAACAGTCTTTCCCCTAAAGGACATTCCATAGATGAATGTGAGCACCCTCTAGTGGTTGAAGTTGGTCAAGATTGAAGTTCACACAAAGGCTAATCCAGTTTTTCTCAACCTTTTTACACTAAATGAAGCCTCATTAGAGGCTGGTCGGTGTCCAACAACCCTTCAGTTGTGCCGCAGGATGCTGCACAATATTATTGTGCAGCACCCTGTGGCACTGGTGAAAGGATCTTGCAGCACCCAAGGGTGTCTGCAAACTTGGTTGAGAATTGCTGTGCTAATAAATATTTGTTTTGGCTTTTGAATTAAGTATCCCTATCTTTTTTGGAGCTGTGGCATTCTTACAGTTTTGACTGGTTTAACTTGACCACTTTAGCTAATGTTTGTCTAATTTGGCTGAGTTTCTAGATGATAGCCTTTTAAACTTAAACGTATTCATATTCTTCCCAGTGTGTAGCAATAACCTGATGAGTTTCTAGGGTTTCTTTTTTATAGCTTTTCCTATTCTATAAAATCAGAAGTCCCGAAGAATGGTATATGTACTGTATATTTGTGCTCTCTTCACTGGGGGACTAAGACAGCAGCTTAGAACAGGGCAGTGATTCTCAACTAGGATTTTGTGAGATCCTTTTAAGGGTAATGTGTGTGGCTCCTGTGTGAGGAACTAAGTGCTCTCTTCCACCACCCCCCCATCCTGTAGACAAGTGGTGCTCACAGCTGTTTCTCTGAGAACTCTGCCTGTTTTCCCATCCCTCTTGGAAGCCTGTGGGCAGGCTGCTTCCGTGCCTTGAGCAGTGTGTTCTGCCACAGGCAGGCAGGTGGATATGGGGCCATGGAGCTTTGTTTAGCCCAGCTCAACATCCCTTGCTTCTTCTATGCTCCCAGGGCTGGCAGGAGAGGCCACAAAGGTAGGTAGCTTTGGTTGCTGGTACTTGATACGCCATAGGAGCAGCCTCAGTAGCGGCGGTCATGCTTGCTGCCTCAGATACAGACTAGAGCAGTGGTCACGAAACAGTGGATCTCAATCCACCAGTAGATCTTGGAGTCTCTTGGCGTTGATCCGAAGCTGGGGTGGGAGGCTGAGTGCCTGTGTACATGCACGCACGCTCCCCAGCCCAGCAGGTCAGTTTGTGGAGGAGGGAAGGGGTGGGGGTAGATCGAGGCCCCCTGTGGTGAGGGACAGTGCCACAGAGGCAGAAACAGGGGTAAGTTGAGTGGGTCCCTGGCTGGGTGGGACTTACCTGCTGGGGAGGCGCACCCCCAAATAATTTTTTCTTCCTCTGCCTCAGTCTCCCCCTTCCCACCCCACAGACTTACCTGCTGGGGGGGGGAGGGAGCTGGGGGGAGGGGGTGGCAGCACACAGTAGACCTTGGGTTGCTTTTAAATGCTAAAGGTGATCTCATACTTAAAAAGTTTGGAGACCACTGGACTAAAAGGAGGGCAGGAGGCAGAGGCACAGCAGGTTGAGGTTGTGCCCCTGCCTCCCTCACTTAGCATCAGCTAGATTCTAGTTCTCTAAATTCAGAAAAGGTAGGTAGGGGGATGCCTTGAAGCTGAAAGGGTTGAGAACCACTAGTACAGGAACTTGTAGTCAGTTCAGAAAATGTTTCAATCTGCCACAGAAAAGGCACAAACAACATTTCATAATAAATGCATTTGTTCTTCTTAATGGCACTACTTTATCCCAGACTCCAGTAGCCTGTATCTGTAATGGATTGTTGCAAGCTATTCTCGGGAGCATTTATCTTCATTACTTTCATTTACCTACCAAGGTCTGTTTAAAAATATGACACCCTGGAGAGCAATAACTCAATAGAATGCATGTCTTAGTGTTACTGATTACAACAATAACAAAGCAGAGCTGACATGAGCCAGGAGTCTGGTTTCTAAACTGTTTCTGTGTCAAAATACTGCTGCTTCAGAATCGGTTATGATTCCCCGCCTCATGCTTTATCCACCAGCTCCCAAGTATATTACGGTCATTTCTCTTGTTGGACAGAGTCTCTGTATCTTTACCCAGAATAGGACTGTAGAATCAACATACTTGGTTTAAAGGCTATTCCAGCAGTGGCACTGGCAGATAATTGTAGCAGCAGGGCTGGTGCTTTTTTTTTAAACCTCACTGGAGTGGAGACATGTGGCAAACTGTCAGAAAGCCAGGTACTGTCCTTCCCCACCATCATTCAACTTTTATGATCTTTATTAGAAACCTTTTGGTTATAGAAGCACTTTATTTTTTCATTTGTCATTGTCACTGTCTTTCATTGGGAGTAGCGCACACACCAGTAAAGGGACCAAAAGATTAGTGTAGTTTGATTGGAGTACTGTGGATGTCTCTCTCACTGGAGCCAAAATTTTATTGGGTGTAAAATTTTATTTGGTGTACACACTCTTCTAGCTCTTGTTTCTTAGTGAGCTGATGTTGCTGTGTATTTTACAGAAGGCCTAATGTAGTGTTTATCCTTTTTGGTTCCTCAGATCCTGTATTTGTTGATGGCCAGTACTCTTAGGCTGCAAACTAACAAAGAGTGTCAATTTAAAGTATCTTGTTCTTGGACTTTAGCTTCACTACTGACTTCTCCTGTATCTGTTCAAAGCGTTCTGCCCATTGTCTCTCAGAGTAGAGGGGACTCTGGCGCCTTCTTTCTTACAATGTCACCACTTTGTTCTTCCCCATGTTTGCCCTAAAAATCCCCAAGTTTGTCCAGTGTATCACAGTATCATCCTTGCCCTATTCTAAGAAATTGCAGAAGGGTTGCTATCAGCAGAAATCTTTGGGATTTTTCTGTTTTTACTTAAGCTACTCACTTGAATTCACAGTTATTGGCTGCCATTTGTGCTAACAGCTCTGTTTCCAGTGCATGTGATCAAAGCAGAAATATGTCCTGAGCAGTTGGAATATAGTCATTGTAACCTGACTCTTGACCTTTTCATTTTAGAGAAAACAGGAATTAGTTTGCATTGACAGTCAAAGTGCAATATAAATTGTAGAAAGAGGGCTTTGTAGAGTCTCAAATAATTTTACGTATTTCATAAACTATTTGGGTTGTATCTGGAATGGCAATGAGGAGAATGGGAGCAAAAAAATTTAGTTGGCCATGTAAGCTTGATGCATGTTTAACAAGCGTGATGATAACCCTGCTTGAGGTCCAGGAAGTAGAACAAGGGCGGGCAATTAGTTTGGGCGGAGGGACGCTTACCCAGTTTTGGCAAGCTGTTGAGGGCTGCATGGGTAGCCCCACCCCCTGGTCACCATATTGGGACCAATGTCCCAGGGTCAGACACCGGTGGGGCCCAGAGTGGGGTGCAGGCTGGCAGGTGTCTGTGGAGCTGGGCTGGGCTGCACCAGCAGGGGGGTGGGGGAGCTGTCCTGGCTCCATAGAGCCCCTGCCAGCTGGGACCCTGTACCCCTGCCGGCCTGCTCTAGGCCCTGCTGGCTCTGGCCCTGGGACACCGGTGCGGGCTCCACGCTCCTGCGCCTGCTCACCCCCTGTGCCTGCTCACCCCCTGTGCCACCCCAGGCCCGTGATACAGGTGGGGGGCAGCGTGCAGCCCCTACCCCCTGCTTGCCAGCAGGGAATGAGGTGGTGCGGAGCATGGGGATAAGTGGCTCCTCACTCGTGGTCATTGCTGCAGCTGCTCGCAGCCCGCTGTCCTGAGTGGGCACAGGCAGCCCCATGTGGGCTGCAAGCGGCTGCAGCACGGGGTGCCAGCCCCAGGGTGGCGCCGCTTTTCCCCTGCACTCAGCCCCAGCCTGTAACCCACCCCCGCTGCCAGCCTGGACCCCGTGCCAGCTCTGGGCTTGCCTGTTGAGGCTGTGCCATGGTGGCAGCAGCTACTCGGAGCAGATGGAAGCGGCCCCCTTGCTTGCCACGCCGGGCAGTGTTTGCTGCTGCTGCCTGCCCGGAGCTCACGCCTTGGGCAGCACAGAGGCAGCGGTGGCAGCTTCATCACAGCCTACTGCGGCACGAGTTCTGGGTGGGCAACAGCAGCAAACGCTGCCCAGTGCGGCAAGCAGGGGGACTGCAGCTGCTGCTGTCATGGTGCAGCCCCATCCTGCGAGCCCGGAGCCGGCGTGGGGCTCAGGCTGGCAGCGGGGGTGGGTTACAAGCTGGTGCTGAGCCCGGGTGGGGAGGGGGAACAGCCCCTCCCCCGCCCTGGGGCCAGTGCCCCGTGCTGCAGCAGAGAGTGCAGGTGATGGGGTGGGGGAGGGGCCGCTTTTCCCGTGTTCCACACCAGCTC